TGATGACCACCAACAGTGCTTATACTGCTTCAGGGAAGCCCCCATCACAGTAAGGTGCAGTATCTGCTGTTTGTTCCCCAGCCGTACGCAGGAAGCATCTAATAGAAAAGGCCACAAAGCTGCAATTGGACCCAGGCCAGGTACCCCTCCCTGTACATTGAACTGATATAGCAAGGAGCACACCCCCTGCCATGCGGTCCAACTCAGGAGCAAAGAAGTTTACCCCCAAAATCCCTTGTCAGGATCTTGTCAGGGAAGAAGGGAGCATAAGCATGAGTCTGAGTCTTCCTCCAAATCCACTTCGAAAAAGTTTAATTCAGTCCTGCCTAAACTGACCACTAGCTCAGCCCAAGAGAACTTAGTATGTCCTAAGTCTCAGAGGCATGATATACTGGGCCCTCCAGTACCTCCCAAGCACAAATCCCGGGATCTGCCAGCACTGACAAATACGAGTTGCCAAGAGCATCAGTTACTCATGGTACCATCTCTGCCTTCAGTGGCTTTGGCACAGACTGTCTCTATTGCAGCTCTCGGGGTTTGGGTGGACAGGACACCTCTCTCTCCAGGAAGAACCAAGACCTACACTTCTGAGGACAGCTTTGCTCTGCCAGACCCGGAGTCTCTCACTCCATCGGCTCCCCCTGTTTTGAGAAAGGTTATAACTCCACCAGAGGAGCTGGCTTTGGGAGGAATCTGTCTCCTATTCCATCTTCAGGCTGTGATTTCCCTCCAGTGGCACTGTCGGTACCACCGTTGGAACTGGAATTGGCTTTCTTCTCATCGGGAGATTCTGAATCACACTGACCCACTATGCCTTCTTCCTCCAAGACACACCTTCCCAGTCAGAAGACTTGCCCCAGCTTGGGACCAACCTCTGCCTCCTCATCCACCTCAGAACTGTTGGTACCCCATGCCATGGGGACCACCTCAATCCCCTGTTCAATCCATCCTAGTGGCCATACTCTTGTAGTTGGCCCAGTCTGCTAGGGAGTCACCCCTTTCCTTCTCTTTGAGGAGACAACAGGAGCTGTCCTCAGATCCTGCTGCGGAAGAGTATGCTCCGGATCCGGTGGTTCCGGTGGATCTGATAAGATTGGTGTTTTTATTGCCAGATGAGGTGCTGACTCTGATGTCTCCATCCTGCCCCACCCTGCTCCCCAAAGACTATAAGCTGTTCCAGGAACTCCTTTGCAGAATTGCACGGGAGCTGAAGATTCCTCTTGAGGAGGCTCAGGATCTTCAACACAAGCTCCTGGACATCCTTCAGTCCTCCAGCTCCAGTAGAATAGTGCTCTTGGTTAACAAAGCCTGGAGTCAGCTAGAGTAGTCTGGCATACCCAAGCTACCTGCACCCCTACCCCTAAGAGGGCAGAGAAATGGTACTATGTCTCAGCCAAAGGTGCGAAATTTCTGTTCTCTCACCCTGCTCCCAATTCTGTAGTGGTCCAAGCCACTGCAGAGAAATGTAGGCTGCAACACCCCAGATCGACCCTGACTTAAAAGGACAACAAGTGTTTCAACTTATTGGGAAGGAAGATCTTTTCTTCTTCTAGTCTCCAGTTCAGGATAGCCAACTACCAACCACTACTGGCTAAGTACGTCTTCCTGAACTATTCAAAATTTGCAGACTTTGACAGTCTCCCACAGCAGGACATAGCTCATTTCCAGGCTCTTAAATGGTTGCCATGACCACTCTCCAATCAGCAGTAGATAGACCTGATACATCTTCCAGGGCAATGGCTACTATCATTGTGATGCACAGGGAGTCATGTTTCCATACTTTAGCGCATCCCAGGGAAGTCCAGTACACCACAGAGGATCTTCCCTTCGGTGAGACTCGTCTGTTTAATCAGAGGATTGATGAGTCCTTACACACTTTAAAGGACTCCAGGGGCATCCTCTGCTCCTTAGGAATATATGCACATACCCTGAAGAGAAAATTCCACCTTCAATAATACAAGTTTAGATTGATGGCTCAACAGTTCTTCCACCTGAGACCTTATGAGCAACCCCTAAGAGCAGACAGTTCAAAAGACCTGCTTCATCTTTCTGCAGCAGATTCCTCATTCCAATCCCAGCCCTTGTTGAAACATTATTTTAGATGGGAGCTGTAAACCACTGAGTCCAACATGTCCTGACTGCCAACACACTCTTTCGGGGGGTCATCTAGTACTCCTTTTCAACACCTGGAGTGCAATAACAATGAACAAATGGGTGCTCAGCATTATCCATTCTGGCTATAGAATAGAATTTGTTCTCCTAAACCCCCTTTCCCTCCTCCCTCTCGGAGACCACTTTCACGAGAACATTCTCAAACAAGAGGTGGAATCTCTCTTACAGCGAAGAGCAATAAAGCAGGTTCCTCTTCAGTACCAAATAAGGGGTTTTTACTTGACATATTTCCCAGTTTCCAGAAAGAAAGGCAGTTGGAGACCTATTCTCAGCCACCGCCATCTCAGCTGCTTTATTTGCATGGTCATGTTGGCATTTATAGTTCAATCTCTGGAAAAAGACAAGTGGTTTACCGCTCTTGACATGAAGGATGCCTACTTTCACATGGACAGCCACCCCACTCGCCAGTGCTTTCTCAGATTCATAGTCACCTCCACTCACTTGCATTACAGAGTACTCCCTTTCAGCATTGCTACCTTCCCCAGGGTCTTTACCAAGGTGTTCTCTGTCATAGCAGATGCCGTGATTTCACCATCTTCCCCTACCTCGATGAGTGGCTCCTTGTCACCAGGTCACGCAAAGAGGGCCAGACGTCTACTGTGACAGTTGCTACAACTCCTCTCCTCTCTGGGGATTAGCATAAATGCCGAAAAATTCGTTCTCACCCCTGTGCCTCAGGGCAGGGGTGGGAGCTGCCGCAGGGCTCCCCACCCCTGCTCACCTCTTCTATCGCCCCCCCCCCCGAGCATGCCGTCGCTGCTCCACTTCTCCCGCCTCCCAGGCTTGCGGTGCCAATCACCTGTTTGGCGCCGCAAGCCTGGGAGGAGAGGAGAATTAGAGCGGGGGCGGCGTGCTCGGGGAGGAGGCGGAGCAGAGGTGAGCTGGGGTGGGGAGCTGCCGTATGGCTCCCCAGGGAGGGGGAGCTGCCGGTGGGGGGGGGAGAGGGGAGGCAGGGAGCTGCCGCAGGGCTGGCGGGGGAGGAGGGGGGGCGCAAGGTGGAAGTTTCGCCTATTCCTCAATGGGACTTGAACCTTGTTCTCTCAGTGCTCACTAAGTCTCCGTTTGAAACATTAGCTTCTTGCTTCGTGTCTCTCCTATCCATGAAGGTCACATTCCTGGTAGCCATCACCTCAGCCAGGTGGGTTGGTGAGTTTGTGGCATTGATGGCAGATCCTCCTTACGCTATATTGCATAAGGACAAGCTTCCATTACGTTTATACCGTAAATTCACCCCCAGTCTGAGTTTCACCTGAACCAGCCTATTCGCTTACCTACATTCTTCCCAAAACGTCACACATCCTCAGAAGAAAGGAGGCTCCATTCCCTCAATGTTTGGCAAGCCTTAGCCTTTCATAACCTGCAGAGAATGAAGACAATCAGGAAATCTCCTGGACTATTTGTCACCATAATGGACAGGGCCAAGGATCAGGTTATATTCTCTCAAAGAATCTCAAATTGGATGTTGGCCTGTACTTAGACAACTGATATCAGAGCAAATCTTCCCCCTCCTCATGGGGTAAGAGCTCATTCTGCAAGAACGCAAGCAACGTCTATGGCTTCTTTTCAGTAGGTGCCTCTACTTGATAGTTGTAAGGCAGCTATATGGCGCTCAGTCCACACATTTATTAGACGTGTGGTACAATTATTGTAGTATTATTGTACTATGCCGTGGTACGGGACTCCTCTGCTGATGCATCTTTTGGAACAGCAGTCCTTTGTTCGGCTCTGCCATCTACAACCTCTCACTCTCCTATTTGAGTACTTCTTGTCAATTACCCACAGTGGATACACATAGGAACCAGCGCTCAGAAGAACAGAAAGTTACTTACCTTATAGTAACTGGAGGTTCTTTGAGATGTGTGGTCCCTATCTATATTCCACTACCTGCCCTCCTTCCCCTCTGCTTTAGATCTTCTCTGATTTGCCATGGAGAAGGAACTGGAGAGGTGGTCCTGCCCTTGAGCTCCTCGGTTGGAGGCAGAAAGTGAGCCTGGGTGCACGTGAAGACCTACAGACACTGCTTTCAAAATTTTCCAGCTCTGGGCACAAGGAGCACATGCATACCCCACAGTGGACTACAGATAGAGACCGCACATCTTGAAGAACCTCCAGTTACTAAATATAAGTAACTTTCTTTTTTCCAGTTTTTCTGAGTGTCAGCAAAATTGGATATGGTCTTCAAAAGTTACCATGTTAGACAGATCAATAGAGAAATGACATCAAGTTGAGTGTGAAGCCTCATTTTGCTTGGCCAGCAAAAATTGCATCTATCATCACCTGATTTGTGTTGTATCCCATTCCCCCATCCTTCAGTAGATGGTATGCTCTTCAGAGCTGGGACTGAGTCTTTCTCTGCATTTGTAAAGTGCCTAGAGCCTTTTGGGAACTACTATAGTATAAATAAAAACAAAAATCCTGCTAATCTGCTGGTTTACTCAAAGCAGAAAGGAGAAAGTAATTAGGAAAAAGTCATGCAGAATAAAGAACTGCATGAATACCAAAAGAGCATAAGAGATCAGATGACTGGAAAAGGTGAGGGATGGTAAAAGAAAAACACAGATATACAGAAAATGAAGTGTATGAAGGAGGGTGAGTAAATAAAGTGTTAGCTAGAAGGGGAAGTGCTTTGTTAGTAAGGAAATTTGCTTTGGATTTGTAACCAAGAATAAGGTTGAGAACCGGAGCCCCAGGAGCCATATACCTGAACCCACAAGCTGGGAGTTTTTGGTTTATTTTACTTTGTCTGATACAGTGTTACTTAAATCACTTTGGTATTTAAAACAACTTTATTTTATTTTTTAACATCCAGATATTTTATTTACCTACAGGTGAATTCATTATCGGTCGTGTTATTAAAGCTATGAATAATAGCTGGCATCCAGAATGCTTCTGTTGTGACCTCTGCCAACAAGTACTGGCAGATATTGGATTTGTCAAGAACGCTGGCAGGTAGATCTTCACCCCCTTCTGTATAGATCGTAAGCAAAGTGGTGATGTTGGGGTTTACAGTTTATTAAGGCTTCTAAAAATCTTTAGCTGACATGAGGTAACCTTTTTAATAAAACACAGTTAAAGGAGTAACTGAAGTATCTCTCAAAAAAAAACGAGGAGTCCTTGTGGCTCCTTAGAGACTAATAAATTTATTTGGGCATAAGCTTTTGTGGGCTAAAACCCACTTCATCAGATGCATGGAGTGAAAAATACAATTCAGTTAAGGTTGAAGTGACAACTTCTTGTCAACTGTTGGAAATGAGCCACCTTGATTGCATTGTCCTCATTAGCACTGCAAAAGTAATTTTCCCTCCCTTGGTATTCACCCCTTCTTGTCAACTATTGAGAATAGGCCACTTCCACCTTAATTGAATTGGCTCGTTAGCACTGACCCCCCCCACTTCGTAAGGCAACTCCCATCTTTTCATGTGCTAGAATATGTATTCCTTTTACTGTATTTTTCACTCCATGCATCTGATGAAGTGGGTTTTAGCCCATGAAAGCTTATGCCCAAATAAATTTGTTAGTCTCAAAGATGCCACTAGGACTGCTCGTTGTTTTTGCTGCTACAGACTAACACGGCGACCACTCTGAAACCTGAAGTATCTCTGTTTACATGTAAGGTACCTTTATGGGGCAGGGTTCAAGCAAGTCTCTCATCTGCAGAGAACACAGCTCAAAAATGAAATGTAAACATTAAATAATGATTTTTTTTTTAATACTTACAAAAGCATTTAACGAATGTTCCACTATACCTTCAGACTTTCCATCAGGGTCATCTTCTGGGTATATCTGTTACCTTATAGCGCTCAGTGGCAGTGGTGCTTTGAGATATGATAGAGGGAGAACATTTTGAAAGTAGTGTACCAGAGGTAGATAAATGTACCCCATTAATTCTTTCACATGAAATATCAGATTTTTTCCGGTGTGATTCCAGCAATTCATGCATCACAACCAGTGGTGCTGAGGTACTAAAAATTTAGATAAAAGTGCACACACCTACCTTGCACCACTTTGGAATTCTGATGGCACCTCTCTAGAATAAAGTGCATTGCTACAGTCAGTGCTTTTTATTTTCTGTTTTTAATCCTTTTTTGTGTGTGGATTTTACCTGACTGAGATGATTTTATATTAGGGAGCCTGGAAAAAGTAGTAGTTTGGTTCATACGTAAAAATGTTCCTCTCATTTGCAAGCTCTTTTGAGGCCATTATGGGCTTACTCTGACTTATTAGCAGCACCTTACTCCTGGAGTTAGTCCCCTTAACTTCAGTGGGACTATTCCTAGAGTAAAATATTTTTCAATGTGAGTAAAGGTACTACAGCCCTATGGCCACTATCTTGCAAACAGATACATGCTTAACTTTAAGCATGTGACTTCACATGGTAAAAGTGACGTTCATGCATAAGTATTTGCAGAATCAGGGCCTAAGTGAGCATTTAGCTTCCCATCTAAACTTCTGAGATTCACAGAGTAAAACACTTGGAAACAAAAATCTATAGAAAATTCTAATTCCTTTTTTACTTTTACACGTACATTAAATGCAAGAGAACAGAAGAATGAGTCCCTGGGCTGGATGGAAGTAAATTGACTATTTTTTCCCTTCTCTTGAGCTTGGAGTTTCCCTTAAGGGTACTGCTCATATGATTTATTCAAGTAACAGATTGAACTGAGATCCTAATAGATTTTGTTTGTGTTTTTATTGTGTGGTAAGATTCCAAAAAGTATTTATTACTGTTACTGTTTTTCTTTTTTCTCTGTTTTTAGGCATCTTTGCCGTCCTTGTCACAACCGGGAGAAAGCTAGGGGTCTGGGAAAATACATCTGCCAGAAGTGCCATGCCATTATTGATGAACAACCGCTTATATTCAAGAATGATCCCTATCATCCTGATCATTTCAACTGTGCCAACTGCGGGTAATTGTATTTTATAGAAGAAAAAAACTTTAAGAAAATGCTGATTTTCATTTGTTTTGTCTGTTTAAATTTAAAGTCAGCTGTATTGATGTAATCCATGTTATCAGAGTGTGATTCTTTGTCCCCTCTAATAGCTAGACCATGTATGGAGGTTTGAGTCTGCCATTACCTCTGGGCTCATAGATTACAGAAATCTGGGGTGCAGTCCTCTCTCAGACAAGCTTAAATGAAAGCTGAGGTTCTGTAGAACAAGATGGTATCTTGGGAGAGGTTGTAGTATCACTGTGTGTACCCCCAATTCTAGCTCTGGGCACAGATGAGGGTTTCAGAAGTGACCTACTGAGAGATTGGATGCAGGGGAGAACAGGAGAGAGGAGTTGAAGATGACACTAAGGTTGCATTCCTTGGAGGATAGTCCAGTTACAAGTGACAAAAGAGATAGAGGATGAAGTGAAGAGGAATTAAGATGAAAGATGAGAATTTCATTTGGAAAGAGATTGAGTTTGAAATGGTGATAGAAGATGTGAGACTGGACAGAACCTCACCCCATGCAATCCTTTAAAATAATCGAACCATTTGTATCAGTGAGGGTAATAAACCACTGGAACAGTGGTAGGTTCTGGTTCACTTGAAATGTTATCAGACTTATCAGTGATCTGATTAACAGACACTCAAGTTTGTGTGGCACATAATATTAACTAGGATTTAAGATTATAAGCACTGTGGCCTGAAGGAATAAAAAAGTCAAAATGCCCCAAACCGTAGGCTGAATGAACTGCTACTTAGCAGTAATCTTAATGATAAACTAAGAAATCCCAGTGACTTTTCTATTTTTCTTCACTTGTTTAAAAAAAATAAAAAGTGCAGCCCCTTCACCCCCCCCCCCCCACTTGCTTCCATCTTTTGCTGCTTAACTTATTCCTCTGCCTCCTCTGGTTTTTAAAAGGAAATTGTAAATTCTTCCCTCCTTTTTCTTTGAAACAATGTGTCTTCAACTGTGGCAGCTGGTCCTTGTCTTCAGGACTGAGCTACTTCCCCAATTTTTACAGGCTGCAATGGCAGCTGTGTCAACACTATACAGCAGAAACCCTATAGCTCTTGGGGCAATTCTGAGGAGAGAGTATTTCTGCTTCAAACAGCTCTGCAGAGAATCTGTGGATTTTCAAAGTGGCCTCTGCAGCAGCTGGAAAAGGCAATTTCCCATCCCCTGGAGGGACTAAAGCTTGCATGGATATTAGCAGTGGGTAAACACAGATTTTCCCCCAATTTCCATGTCCTGCACAGAGATGCTGGATTGGAGGTATTATGGGAGATAACACAGGTGCACTAGTTTGTAGCTGACCATCCAGTAATTTGGTAGTAGGGAAGTTTTCACTTTAGATATTTAGTGCTACAGCAAAGATCAGTTTAAAAAGAATCTGTAATCCTAAAGCAAGAGCAACCAAATGAGACCACCATTGATTATACAGGTTGAACCTCTCTAGTCCGGCACTCTCTGGTCCGGCAACATCCATGACCCAGCATGATTTTATTTTATGTTTTTTATGCTTTATTTACTTATTTACTTGTGCCAATACAGTAATATTGTGTAACAATACTAACACTTTGTTATGAAGAGAGCCGGTAAGTCTTGGCTAGGCAGCATTGCAAGCGTTGTTCCATTATTCACCTCGGCAAGATAAAAATAAAAAGAGACCCGCTCGCTACAATATGGACCTCCCGTGGTTCAGCAAATTCTCTGGTTTGGCACCGGTCAGGTTTGTAGGGTGCTGGACTAGAGAGGTTCAACCTGTAGTCCATTTTAAAGCTTAATTCTGACAATGTCATTTAACTGTTCTTAATAACATAATTATTCAGATTGGATTCAGATCATCCAATTTAGTGGTTAAAACAAAGTAGCGTACAGAGATTCTGAGATAGTAAGAATATAGATGACTGTCACATATAGGTGCATATTTTTCTTTATCCCTGAACCCTATAAAGGCATGCATGATTGACTTGGCCCTAGAGCACTAAATTCCAGTATCAGTTATACTGATGTTAATCCGGAGGAAATCATATGACTATAGTGGATTATACTAGTGTCACTGAGAACAGAAGTAAGCCCAGTGTATCTAGGACCTTGTCTACACTAACGAGGTTAGTCAATCTAAGTTACGTAAGTTATGTAGCTGAAATCAAGGTAGCTTAGATCGATTTACAGCGGTGTCTACACCATGCTATGTTGGCGAGAGGCACTCTCCCGTCAATGTATCCGCGTCTTTACCAGACTCGCTAAATCAATGCCGCTGTATCGATCGTAGCAGCACCGATTTAGCCCATAGTGAAGACAAGCCCTAGATCTTACAAATGATTTTGTGTTCATTGTCAATGGCATGTAAGAAAATGATGAAACTATTGTAAATCAGATATTTAGAGAAAGTAAAAAACTTCATGCATTATACAATGCAAACATTCAATCTTCAAGATAAAATCCACTGAACCAGGCTATTTTGAACACTAGTATACAAATCGCATAATGGAGTGTAAATAAAACTTTTGAAATAAATTCATAACAATAAAGTCATGCCTTCAAAACGTCCCATTAACTAAAATCATTCTCTGTATTCTCAGATTCTGTGTGTTCATGTTTGATTCATTAATTTTTGAACAGGAAGGAACTTACTGCTGATGCTCGTGAGTTGAAGGGAGAATTATATTGTTTACCATGCCATGATAAAATGGGTGTCCCCATTTGTGGTGCATGTAGGAGACCAATTGAAGGACGAGTGGTGAATGCTATGGGGAAACAGTGGCATGTGGAGGTAAATGTCAAAGAGTGTATTATATTTTATAAATATTGGCATGAATATACTAGGTCTGGAATTTTGAGTCAGTTTCAATAGAAAGGATTAGAAAATTCTACAGAAATGGTTGGTAAAGTAAATTGTAGAGCATGTCTTCAGTTGTAATCACACACACAGTTTATTCCATTTTGAAAAATTCTGCATTTTGAGAGAGATTCCCTATATTTCAGATGAGAAATAGTTGTAGAACTCAAAATATCTCTTAAGTCAACAGAAACTTTTTAAATGTCTATATACACTAGGACACTGACATGAAAGTATGGTTTAGCTGCCACAAATTTCCTGTGTGGTCTTGGGCAAATTATTTAATCTCTCTGTGTCTGCATCGCCATCTGTAAAATGGGGATAATAATGACATTGCCTACTTTACAGGCTGTGTATGAAGTTAAGTTCACTGTTCAAAAAGGTGCTTTGAGATCCTTGGAAAGCGCTAAAGAAGCGCAAAGTATTATACAGAAATGTAGTAATATTTTGCATAAATACTATTCATTACAAACTGGAGAATTGGTTTGAAATAAATAGGATGAAATTCAGTAATGACAAATGCGAAGTGCTACACATAGGAAGGAATAATCAATTGTACAATTACAAAATGGGAAATGACTGCCTACAAAGGAGTACCCCAGAAAAGGATCTGGGGTTATAGTAGATCACAAACTAAATATGAGTCAACAATGTAATACTGCTGCAAAAAAGCAAACAGCATTCTGGGATGTATTAGCAAGAATGTTGTAAGCAAGACATGAGAAATAATTATTTCACTCTACTGATAAGGCCTCAGTAGAAGTACTGGGTCCAGTTCTGGAAACTTCAGGAAACCACACTTCAGGAAAGATGTGGATAGATTGGGGCAAGTCCAGAGGAGAGCAACAAAAACGATTAAAGATCTAGAAACTATGACCTATGAGGAAAGATTGAAAAAATTGGGTTGGTTTAGTCTAGAAAAGAGACTACTGAGAGGCAACGTGATAAGTCTTCAAGTACATAAAAGGTTGCTGTAAAGTGTGTGGGAGGGGGAGGGGGGATAATTTTTTCTCCTTATCCACTGAGGACAGGACAAGAAGTAATGGGCTTAAATTACAGCAAGGGAGATTTAGGTTAGCTTAGTGATTTTCCCCTGTGTGTCCACCCACTACATGTAAGGCAGTGGTTCTCAACTTTTTGTTTTGGTGATCCCTCTGGGTGTGACCTCCCCTTATAAATTAAAAACCTTTTTTATATTTAACACTATTATAAATGCTGGAGGCGAAGTGGGATATGGGGGTGGAGGCTGACAGCTCGTGACCTCACATAATAACCTTTCAACCCTCTGAGGCATCATAACCCCCAGTTGGTGAACCCCCTGGTCTAAAGGGTCCGTGAAAGGACTATGAAAATAAAGTTTTAGATCCACAAAAAGCATTCAATTTTTCTCATCAATCAAAAATATGTGACTACCCCCACCTACAGGTCAAAACCAAGAAGTATTGTCATTACCATAGAAACCCACAGTTTAGCAAACCCTTTCTCACGCTGCGTCAAATGCTGTGCCGAGCACATGCAACGTTTATATTTGAATTCTGTTCAGTCTGTTTTCAGTCTAAGACTTCTTTGGTAGGGGTCTGCAGACAACAGGTTGTATTTCGAAAGGGGGCCGCACTGTCATTTGAAATTTTTTAGGGGTCTGCAAATGAAAAAAGGTTGAAGACCATTGGTTTAGACATTAGGAAAATCTTCTTAATTGTAAGAGTAGTTAAGCACTGGAACAAATTACCTAGGGAGGTTGTGGAATCTCTATCATTGAAGGTTTTTAAGAACAGATTAGACAAACACCTGTTAGGGATGGTCTAAAGATAATTAGTTCTGTCTTAGTGCAAGGGACTAGACCAGATGACCTGTTGAGGTCCCTTCCAGTCCTACATTTCTATGATTCTGTTACAGAGTTCCATAATACTACTTTGCCATTTATGACACCTTCTATTTGAAAATCATAAAGCATTTCACAAACAACTGTTGAGCGTTTCAAAGAAGTGCAGGAGATTTAGCCATACATCTTTCATTAAATTTAATGGAATATATGTAGCTAAATCCTTTAAACTGCTTTGAAAATCTCAATCAATAAATTTATCCTTACACCACATTCCGGTGAAGCAGGCAAGTATTATTATGCCCATCTTATGGATGGGAGAATTGAGGCAAAAAGAAATTAAGTGACTCCCAAAGGCGCAGGGTTATAAATGGAATCCAAACCTGCTTAGTCTCGCTCCCTTAATCACAAGATTATCCTTCCTCCTCAGATATCTTTAAATAAATAAATAAAAACACACCACCATTGACCAGGTTATTGTGACTGTCAAACAAGAAGCGTAACAATAAAGTTTCTTTAAGTTAGTTTAAGAATTTTCCACGATATCAATGCAATTTATCAACCAATAATGAATCCAAAACCTTTTCTTCAGTTTATTTTTTTCTTTAGTCTATTTTCTTTAAAATATAAGACTTTAAAATGAGCAATATTTTGTTTTTTTATGTTTTAAATGTAAAAATAATAAAAGTGTTGTTTTTAATTTTAAAGAAGGCATTACAAGCAGACTATCCTTCAATAATGCTCAGTCCTGAGGTTTGTGTATCTGTTTCCAAAGAAATGCCATTAACTCAACCAATCCAGAGACAATTCATATCATTTTCTTTGCAGCATTTTGTTTGTGCAAAGTGTGAAAAGCCATTTCTTGGTCATCGTCACTATGAGAGGAAGGGCTTGGCATATTGTGAAACCCATTACAATCAGGTAAGGTTGAATTTTGTATCTTAGCCATTAATAAATTCATGATTCATCAACTCACTTATATTTGTCAGAGAGAAAAATATTAACACTAAGGAACTAGTTTTGCCTTCTGACAACCATCTATGTCTTGAAAAGTAGTGTCTGAAGTATTGTAATTCCTTAAACATTTTAACATTTTTCTGCAAATGGTTCAAGTATTTCAATAGAAAACTGTTAAGGACTTAACAAAACATTCAGTATATACTCTGCCTTCAAATCCATAATTACTAATGACTGTAGGACTATTGGCTGTGAACTGCAAGGTCAGTGCACCTGTTCAATGCTACTAATGACACCCAACTTTTCCAAGAATCTAAGGAAAATTTGTCACTCACTGTCTAGGGTTTAACACTAGGCCTTAGTTAATAGAGTGGCTTTCCTTACAGCTGCTACCGCATTATAATAGGACTTTACATGAAGATAGACTGTGTAACCCAGCTTGACTCACTTTTTCTCCATCTAAGACTACAAACACCAAATGCATTTGTCAGAGAACACCACCTAGTGACTACTTTTATTTTCATACATGGATTATAGTCAATGTTCCTTTTCCCTACAGATCCCTTTTTTATAGTCACTCAGATACCACAATGAAAAGTTTCAGAGTAGCAGCCGTGTTAGTCTGTATCCGCAAAAAGAAGAACAGGAGGACTTGTGGCACCTTAGAGACTAACAAATTTATTAGAGCATATGCATCCGAAGAAGTGGGCTGTAGTCCAATAAAGTTTTAGATCCACAAAAAGCATTCAATTTTTCTCATCAATCAAAAATATGTGACTACCCCCACCTACAGGTCAAAACCAAGAAGTATTGTCATTACCATAGAAACCCACAGTTTAGCAAACCCTTTCTCACGCTGCGTCAAATGCTGTGCCGAGCACATGCAACGTTTATATTTGAATTCTGTTCAGT